CTCATCAAGGCTGCATTTATTTGATCAAAAATACAGAAAAAAACAGTAATCTTGCAAAATGTTATTACAATATAAAATAATGGTTTCTATTTTAATATCCTTTAAAATATAATTTATTTCTGTGAATGCAAAGCTGAATTTCCATCAGAATGTTGTGCTGCCAAATATTTTTTTTTTGGAAACTGTGATACTTTTTTTCAGAATTCTTTGATGAATTAAAAGTTAAAAAGAACAGCATTTATTCAAAATATAAATCTTTTCTAACAATATCAATCTTTGCTATCACTTCTTATCAATTTAACACATCGTTGCTGAATAAAAGTTTTAATTTCTTTCAAAAAAAGAAAGAATAAAAATGTAAAACTTCTGAACGGTAGCGTATATTGTTAGACAAGATTTCTGTTTTAAATAAATGCTCTTCTTTTAGAATAAGAAACAACTTAAAAAAAAGTATAAAAACATCTGATCTGTGGAAAATAGATCTGTGCATTAGTCTGTTAAAGCTGCCACTGTAATAATAATAATAATAATAATAATAAATATAATAATAATAATGCTGAGGAAAAAAGAAAAAACACTTGTTAGACCCTCTACTTTCAAACATGAAAATCTGTTTTATTCTAGCATCAAGCATTGTTTTTAATCAACACTTGAATGTAGGTAGGTTTCATAAAAAAAGCAACATTGAGAAAATCGCATTTTTATCAAATCCTAATAAATCTGGATCATATTCAGTAATATTATCAAAGCAACGCTGCAGTAGATGGCGTACTCCCAAAGCTTGCACGCTTTCTGGATCCACACGTCACTCGCTAACATTAGGCAGTTTTCATTTATACGCGGTTAGTGTTGACGATCGCATTATTTTTCATATGCATACATACGAGATCGCTGGTTTCTGCGTCTTCCTCGCCTGTGTTTTTGATCGAGTGATTCTAGACTCATTCAGGAGATACGTGATAGCGCCCCCTAGCGTACAACAGCGAAAACACGGAAAGTTCTGTGTTAGGCGGGGAAAGAGTTAAACGTAGCCTGCTTATATAATTTAATAAAAATACACAAAATAAATTTGATACAATCGTGATTAGAGTTGGGTATCGAACTCGGTACTTTTAAGGGTACCGACCGAATTGCGTCGGTACTACAGAGTACCGATTCACGTTAAATCAATCGGTGCCATATTTCGGTAGCTGAGAACGTATCTGGGCGCATATGCTACAGAAAGACTCGTTCAGACAACACACAGGGCGAGCCGAAATGTTCTGAAGTGTGGTTACATTTCTAGGGCCATATGGTTTCTGCGAAAACGCGGACGGGATCGCGGAGTCCAATCATAAAAACGTAATTTACTCTACAGCGCTGAATGCCACGGAATTCGTAAATTTTGGATGAATAAATCAAAAGTAGGTCTGCCACTTAATTCGAATCGCGATATGAACTAGTGTCTGCGAATATTAAAACGCAAAAAGACGGTTTAAATATGAATCCTGCGTGTTCCGCTTGCCTCTGTATGTATGAATGGCGGAAACGCGGTTTTGTTTACTACACAAATACTGAAGCGCGCGTTACGCTCGCGGTGATTTCCGGCCTCTGCGTCTCACTGTATGACGGCATGAACACAAAAACGCTGCTGTGAGAGTCACTTCGCGAGAATTTTACCGTTTCATTTGAGGAAACTAGCATCATCATACTGTATACACACAGAAACTTCATGGCAACCTGTCAAAATAAAAGTACGGTTTCACATGTAACAGAAATATATTACTCTTGTATTACATTTGTACAGTATAATGTACATCTTTAAATATTCAATTTTCTATCCAATTTAAATAAAACAAGTAAATTATAAAAATAAATATTACAACCAGATTAATCAGTTAATTGTAGAAATTTTTTTTACAATTATTAGCCTATAAAATTTTTTTTTAAAGGAATATTCACACAATTTTTCTTCCATGTATTAATTTCAACAGTAAACCTCAGTTTGTTTGCCGAAAAAAAAAAAAGTGTTTAATTTTCATTTGATTTAAAATAAATGTTTAATGCCTTCATTTGATTTTCAGAAAAATTAAAACAAGAATTTCTGGGGAAATTGAGACTTTTGGACTTATTTTTTCACTGAAATAAATGTTTTTGTAATTACAGAGAGAGTAAAGTACCGAAAGAAGGTACCGATACCGGTACCGTACCGGTTAAAATGTGAACGGTACCCAACCCTAATCGTGATGCATGGAATTGAATCGAATCATTGACATGATAATCGTAATCTAACTGAATGGTGAAACCAGTGCCGAGTCACACCCCTGGTGTATAACTCCTGATAAGAGTGAATGTGCGTCTGATAAAGGCTCACCCTGCACAACGCCCCAGGGATACTGCCTCGCCTTCACCATCTTGTTGCCGATGCTCACCTCCTCTGTACTGCCCACCACAGCGAACGGAAGATGGCCCTGGAAGAGCATGATCGTGCACGTTATTAGGTTAGCTTGAGAAAGCCAACCTACTGATCTGCTACTTAAGCTTTTTATTATTCTTCTTCTTAGACTACATTTCTGAACGCTACTCCTCCTAGAGCATTATTATTATTATTATTTATTATTATTAACAACATGCTAATCATGCTAGAGTAGCATGCTAATCATGCTAGCAACATGCTAGTTTCTTGCTAATCATGCTAGAGACATGCTAGTAACATGCTAGTGACTTGCTAATCATGCTAGAAACATGCTAGTAACATGCTAGAAACAGGCTAGTGACTTGCTAAACATGCTAGTCACTTGCTAATCATGCTAGTAACATTGCTAGAAACATGCTAGTGACTTGCTAAACATGCTAGTCACTTGCTAATCATGCTAGTAACATGCTAGAAACAGGCTAGTGACTTGCTAAACATGCGAACAACATGCTAGTAACATGTGTTAATCATGCTAGAAACATGCTAGCAACATGCTAGTGACTTGCTAATCATGCTAGAAAAATGCTAGTAACATGCTAGAAACAGGCTAGTCACTTGCTAATCATGCTAGTAACATTGCTAGAAACAGGCTAGTGACTTGCTAAACATGCGAACAACATGCTAGCAACATGTGTTAATCATGCTAGAAACATGCTAGTGACTTGCTAATCATGCTAGTAACATGCTAGAAACAGGCTAGTGACTTGCTAAACATGCTAGTCACTTGCTAATCATGCTAGTAACATGCTAGAAACAGGCTAGTGACTTGCTAAACATGCTAGTCACTTGCTAATCATGCTAGTAACATGCTAGAAACAGGCTAGTGACTTGCTAAACATGCTAGTCACTTGCTAATCATGCTAGTAACATGCTAGAAACAGGCTAGTGACTTGCTAAACATGCGAACAACATGCTAGTAACATGTGTTAATCATGCTAGAAACATGCTAGCAACATGCTAGTGGCTTGCTAATCATGCTAGTAACATGCTAGAAACAGGCTAGTGACTTTCTTAACATGCTAGTCACTTGCTAATCATGCTAGTAACATTGCTAGAAACATGCTAGTGACTTGCTAAACATGCTAGTCACTTGCTAATCATGCTAGTAACATTGCTAGAAACATGCTAGTGACTTGCTAAACATGCTAGTCACTTGCTAATCATTCTAGTAACATGCTAGAAACAGGCTAGTGACTTGCTAAACATGCTAGTCACTTGCTAATCATGCTAGTAACATTGCTAGAAACATGCTAGCGACATGCTAGTAACTTGCTAATCATGCTAGAAACATGCATAGTAACATGCTAATCATGCTAGTAACTTGCTAATCATGCTAGGAACATGCTAGTTACTTGCTAATCATGCAATAAACATGCTAGTAACATGCCAGCAATATGCTAGTGACAGGCCAATAATGCTAAAAACATGCTAATCATGCTAGAAACATGTTATCAACATCTATCTAACCTATCTAAATGTTCAAACTTCAGGCTTTTAAAACTGCTTTAAACTTTCAGGCTAGGCTTTCTCAAGCCAACCTAAGGTTTGTCTTGACGAACTCTTGTATCTAGTTCTATATTAACACTGCTTCCAAAATGTGCAAATGACACACTAATGACTCCTTTTGAGTCCCACATAATCATCTGCGATTCAGCGAATGAGCCAATATAACAACAACAGTCAAAATCAATCTTCAGCCTTGATTCAAACTATTATTAAAATGGCATTAATGATGTTGCGGAGTGTAAAGCTAATTTTTATTTGTGATGATGCAACAAATCCTGCCGATTGTGCAGCATAATTTCATGTAAAGCCTGCACTCGTTATTCCCAGCCTATAATTCCTGAATCCAAGATGATGAAAGACTCTCACGTTTGGGAATAAATTAGAAGAAATTAGGTACAACACACACGTAAAGCCCATAGAATGGCTGCTGTAATCAAAAACAAGAGAATCAGTTGAATATTAATAACTGATTATATATTGTAGTCAGTGCATGCTTTATTTCCTGTGAGCTTTGCATAGAAAAATAAAACCCATATTCTGTGATAAGTTAAATGCCATAATCAGGGTTATTAGAGTTGTACAAAACCAAAAATTAAAACACATTTTTGACACCTGAAATAAAATTAGCATTATTAACTTAAATTAAACGAATAAATAAATTTCAACTAGTTGCCAAGCTAACATTTCTCATTTTCATTCATGCACTAAAATAAAGTAAATCTGAAACTAAAATTAATTAATTTTGATACCTGAAATAAGATAGTTTTTTTTTTAAAGGCAACATTTCCCATTTTCACTTAACTTGATGTAATAAATGTAATAGTTAACATTGCTACTTAAAATAAAACACACGTCAACTAAAATAAAATAAAGAACGTTTTTCTTTTTATTGTAGCTAGTTGCCAAAGCAGCATTTCTTGTTTTAATTTAGTTTAACTAGATGTACTAAAATAACTAAAACTGAAATAAAAATTATATACAAAAAAAAACAAACACTAAAGTTGACAAAAACGCAACAAAATTACGACAACTTTAACTAAAATGAATGAGATTTTGAATAAAAATGGAAAATATAATTATAAACATTTATAAAAAAACAATATATATAATTAAAAAAAATAAAATTATAAATTATTATAATTTTTTTTTTATATATACAATTTTTTTAATTAATAAAATCTATAATAGGATTCTAAAAAAATTAATCAAATGTATTGTTTTCTTCCTCCCAATAAGACACGCACTATATTTTGATGGTTTAACAGAGCACTCAGGGTCATTAAAAGCGAATACTGCACACATAGCCCCTTCTTCCAGTCGCTTCTGTGCTTTCTCTCAGGACTCACGTTCATGGCGGTGTTGATCTTGGCCACGGTCTCGTCGTCGATGGGAAACTGGTAGATCTGCACGCCGTTGCTCACCAGCTCGCTCATGATCTTGATCTTGAACTTGTGCAGCTCGCTCTTGGAGATGGTGTCGGCTTTAGCGATGACGGGGATGATGTTGACCTGCCACGGACCGATATAGAGAAACCACAGGCTTGTGTTCAGCCAACATATTAAACATATAAACATGGAGAGACCCGAGACAGCCGTCTCTATCCAGCGCTGATTACTACAATCATCAGTATTAGTATTAGTATTAATACAGGCTTTCTGCAGGTTTGATGACGCTACATTTACGATATGTATTACATGTACACTAGCAGGGCTCTACAGTGCGCATTTGCGACTGAAAACTACTGCGTGCGACTATGAAAAAATATTTAGGAGCACCAGTGCGACTGACCAGATCTTCATCAGCCGCTGCGCATCTCCATTCAAACACAGCGGTGTCTCGTTTATGAATGAACTGCGTTTTTAAACGAATCTAGTGAGTCAGTGATTCATGATCACCCATTCATAAAGACAGTCACTTGATTCATTCCTGAATGAATCAGCCGTTCGAACTAATCAATTGAATGAATGATTCCGTGATAAAATCAGTGACTTGTCGCCACCTGCTGGCAGTTTTATTCTATGGTTTTAATTAGAATTTTTAAAAAGCTTATAAAATATAATTTTTTAAACATCTGACATAAAAGATGACATACTTTTAATAAAGTTAGAAAAATGACATTACAAAGGTAAAAACAAAATTCTACTGTAAATCACTTTAAGGAGTCAAATATCACCTCGTAACGGGAAGGCTAATTTTTTTTATCAAATTTTGGATTATTAATTAGAAGGTGCTCCTAAATTTTTTAAGTTAGGAGCATAAGTGCTTCTAAACAGAAAAATAAGCGTAGAGCCCTGACTAGCACTCAAAAGGTTTTGAACAGTAAGATTTGTAATGTTTTTAAAGAAGTCTCTTGCATTTATTTGATACAAAGTACAGCAAAAACAGTAAAAGTTGTACTAAAAAGTAAAAGCTGTTTTTAAAATGCGATTTATTCCTGTGATTTCAAAGCATCAGTACTCCAGTCGCGTTGATCCTTCAGAAATCATTCTAATATTCGGTTTTGCTGCTCAAAAAACATTATTATTATTATTATTATGCTGAAAACAGCCGAGTAGAATTTGTTCAGGTTTCTTTCGATGAATAGAACGTTCAGAAAACAGCATTTATATGAAATCTTTTGTAACATTATACATCTCTCTCATCACTTTTTGAGTGAGTGAGTGATACTTAACTGTTTTAAGTATTGATAACAATAATCAGAAATGTGTCTTGAGCAGCAAATCAGCATATTACAATGATTTCTGAAGATCATGTGACACTGAAGACTGCAGTAATGATGCTGAAAATACAGCTTTGATCTCAGAAATAAATTACAGTTTAACAGATATTCACATAGAAATCAGCTGTTTTAAATAGTAAAAATATTTCACAATTTTACTGTATTTTGGATCAAATAAATTTCTTTAAAGAGACTTTAAAAAAAACATGAAAAATCTTACCGTTCAAAAACATTTGCCTGCTAGTGTATAATCAACTTTTTAGATTAAAAACTCAACTTCCAACAGATTTCTATTGCTTTTAAATTAATTTTCCCAAAACAATAGCTTGAGGTTTGAACGTCTCTGCTCCCGAACACTAGAATATGGAAATAACGTTTATTGCCTCTTCTGATCACACTGCATGCTAATGCTGTTCTTCCTCAGTATTTGTGTCTTGTCTTCCAGTGCAGACGTCTAACGATTATTAAATCGAGATACTTGAGATGCAAAATGAATCGATCAAAATGAAGTGAGTTTATGATTAAAACAAGAACACATATCTGCAAATAGGTACAGAAAAATCAACTTAATTGAAAGAGAAACTAGTTTTTATTCGCCATCGACAGATATTTGTTCTTGTTTTGATCATAAACACACTTATTTTTGTTCGATTTCCCACAAAACAAGATTTAATATGCTTCTCCATGATTTAATATGCATATTTGCTTCTCCAGTAAGGATGTTTAGATATTTATATTAGAAAACAAAAGAATACTGAGGAATATATTCATTTTTTGAAGTGTAATGTCATGACTTTATAATCAACTTAATTCAAAGAGAAACTAGTTTTTATTCGCCATCGACAGATATTTGTTCTTGTTTTGATCATAAACACACTTATTTTTGTTCGATTTCCCACGAAACAAGATTTAATATGCTTCTCCATGATTTAATATGCATATTTGCTTCTCCAGTAAGGATGTTTAGATATTTATATTAGAAAACAAAAGAATACTGAGGAATATATTCATTTTTTGAAGTGTAATGTCATGACTTTATGAATTAATTTTTTTTTGACCTAATTTAAGACCTTAATTTTCTATAATTGAGACTATTTAGGACCTTTGCAATATTAATATTATATTGAATAACCCGCTTAAAAATACACATCTCTTTCATCTTTATTTGACCCTCTAACTCTAGGCACTCTCTATTCTAATTCTATTTTTATCTATTTGTTTTATTTTTTTATTAAAAACAAACACTTTACCCTTTAAGGCATGCACTGTATTTGTTTTCTTCTTCAAAAAAGGCCTCTAACACTAGCTTTTTCTATTCTATCCATGTTTCCTTTTTATTTATTATATAATTGTTGTAGCACTTGTATATTATTGTTCTTTTGTTGATTTTGATTGCTTCCGTTGTCCTCATTCGTAAGTCGCTTCGGATAAAAACATCTGCTTAATGACTAAATGTGACCCTGGTGGTCATAAGGGTCAATTTTGTGAAATTTAGATGTATGCATCATCTGAAAGCTGAATAAATAAGCTTTCCATTGATGTATGGTTTGTTAGGATAGGACAATATTTGGCTGAGATACAACTATTTGAAAATCTGGAATCTCAGGGTGCAAAAAAATCTAAATATTGAGAAAATCATCTTTAAAGTTGTCCAAATGAAGTTCTTAGCAATGCATATTACTAATCAAACATTAAGTTTTGATATATTTACGGTAGGAAATTTACAAAATATATTCATGGAACATGATCTTAATATCCTAATGATTTTTGGCATAAAAGAAAAATGTATAATTTTGACCCATACAATGTATTGTTGGCTATTGCTACAAATATACCCCAGCGACTTAAGACTGCTTTTGTGCTCCAGCGTCACATATATACTGACCTTGCTGTCCAGTTTCTTCATAGTGACCAGGTCTAGGGATTTGAGCGAGTGTCCGGACGGAGCGATGAAGTACAGACACGCGTGGATCCTGGAGTCGTGGTAGTTATGAAGCGAGCGCTTGATCTTCAGCTCCTCCTGTAAGTACGACTCGAACTGTGTGTCGATGTAATCCACTATGTGCTGGTAACTATAACACAGAGACAGAACGCCAATATAAGATCAGGATGAGTGTGTTTCTTCATCAGATTTGGAGAAATGCAGCACTGCATCAGTGTCTCAGCAATGGATGCTCTGCAGTGAATGGGTGCCGTCAGAATGAGAGCTGATAAAAACATCACAATAATCCACAAGTAATCCACAGCACTCCAGTCCATCAGTTAACATCTGGAGAAGACAAAAGCTGAAACAAATCCAGCATAAAGACGTTTTTAACTCATTCTGACGGCACCCATTCACTGCAGAGACACTGATGCAATACTACATTCCTCCAAATCTGACGAAGAAACAAACTCAACTCTACTCCAAACCTTTAACAGTGAACAACATTAGATGTTAAATCAGTAAATGATCAGAACGGACCTCTGTTGTTTGTTCATCTGATCGCCGAAGCCGACAGTATTAACCACGGTGAGCTTCAGACGAACGTTGCTCTCCTGAAGATCGTACGTCTGCGCTCGCAACTTCACCTTCGGCTCAAAATGGGACGACTCGAAATTCTCAAAATTGGTGTTGAAAAGAGTGTCCATCAGCGTGGATTTACCGATCCCAGTTTCTCCTGGAGGAATAAGTGCAATATACTTACTCTATGTACACATACGCAAGACACTGTACTTATTAACCCTATAATAAACCATAATTTCTAAAGCTCTAAATGATCAAACTTTGCCGTTTCACTCAATCTCCTCACGTCTTCTGTCTCTGATTGAGAGTTTAGAGTGTTTTATCCAGTCAAAGCTCTTTTAGTGTAATTGTAGAAACTCTTCTCGTGTCAGTAAAGTAAAGTAAAGGTCAGAATACCTGCAGTAATATCTCCAGATGAACACTTACTGGACTGAAGCAGCTCAGCTTTACTTGATTCTCCATCAATCATGTTTTAGAGTCTCAAATCTGATCCTCAGGATCTTTTGAGGAGCGTTTGTTTCCAGAAGCTTTACTTTCACTGTTCCTCAGCGGAGGAATGATCTTCACAAGCCTCCAGAACATCTCACATCTTCTGAGGAGCCTTTATTTCTTCAGCTCTCAATCACTGCATTATATGTTTGGAGCATTTCAATCTTATCTTACTGAGACATGTTACTGGAGATATAGAGCGACGACTGATATTTAGATCAGTTTATGTCAGTATCTGCTGCACTGTTATCTCACTGATATCAGAAGGAAACACGATGCATTAAGAGCATGAAAACTTTTTGAAATTTGAAGATCCAGGTAAATTGTACTTAATTTGTCTTCCGGGAAACATGCAAGTATCTTCTGTTGCTTCCGAAGGGCAGTACTAAGTGGGGAAAAAAATTATATTTCAACAAAATAAGAAAAATTTGGACATCTCCATTCTGTTCAAAAGTTTTCACGCCCCGGCTCTTAATGCATCGTGTTTCCTTCAGGAGCATCAGTGAATATCTGAACCTTTTTTAATTGTTATGTTTGAGTCCCTCAGTTGTCCTCAGTGTGAAAAGATGCATCTCAAAATCATACAGTCACTGCAGGAAAGGGTTCAAATATGCAAAAGATGCTGGAAAACTGAAGAATCTGCAGGAGCTGGGGGATTTTTCTGAAGAACAGCAGGAAGTTTAACTGTTCAGAACAAACAAGGGACTCATGAACAACCATCACAAAACAAAAAACAGTCGTGGATCATCCAGCTAACCACACACAGTATTAAGAACCAAGGGTTCCCAAACTTTTTACACATACGCAAGACACTGTACTTATTAACCCTATAATAAACCATAATTTCTAAAGCTCTAAATGATCAAACTTTGCCGTTTCACTCAATCTCCTCACGTCTTCTGTCTCTGATTGAGAGTTTAGAGTGTTTTATCCAGTCAAAGCTCTTTTAGTGTAATTGTAGAAACTCTTCTCGTGTCAGTAAAGTAAAGTAAAGGTCAGAATACCTGCAGTAATATCTCCAGATGAACACTTACTGGACTGAAGCAGCTCAGCTTTACTTGATTCTCCATCAATCATGTTTTATAGTCTCAAATCTGATCCTCAGGATCTTTTGAGGAGCGTTTGTTTCCAGAAGCTTTACTTTCACTGTTCCTCAGCGGAGGAATGATCTTCACAAGCCTCCAGAACATCTCACATCTTCTGAGGAGCCTTTATTTCTTCAGCTCTCAATCACTGCATTATATGTTTGGAGCATTTCAATCTTATCTTACTGAGACATGTTACTGGAGATATAGAGCGACGACTGATATTTAGATCAGTTTATGTCAGTATCTGCTGCACTGTTATCTCACTGATATCAGAAGGAAACACGATGCATTAAGAGCATGAAAACTTTTTGAAATTTGAAGATCAAGGTAAATTGTACTTAATTTGTCTTCCGGGAAACATGCAGGTATCTTCTGTTGCTTCCGAAGGGCAGTACTAAGTGGGGAAAAAAATTATATTTCAACAAAATAAGAAAAATTTGGACATCTCCATTCTGTTCAAAAGTTTTCACGCCCCGGCTCTTAATGCATCGTGTTTCCTTCAGGAGCATCAGTGAGTATCTGAACCTTTTTTAATTGTTATGTTTGAGTCCCTCAGTGTGAAAAGATGCATCTCAAAATCATACAGTCACTGCAGGCAAGGGTTCAAATATGCAAAAGATGCTGGAAAACTGAAGAATCTGCAGGAGCTGGGGGATTTTTCTGAAGAACAGCAGGAAGTTTAACTGTTCAGAACAAACAAGGGACTCATGAACAACTATCACTAAACACAAAAAACAGTCGTGGATCAGACACACAGTATTAAGAACCAAGGGTTCCCAAACTTTTGAATGGGGTTATTTGAATAATTTCAGCTTTTTTGTATTATTTTTTTAAATGTAAACATCTTTTATGTAAAATATCTTACTCAGGACATGCATAACATGAATGCAAAATAACATGCGTTTTGTATGATCTCTCTTATTTTGTTAAAATTATTCACATTTTCACAGATTCTGCAACTGCCGCTGTAAATATCAGCATCTGCAGCATTGCTGCGTTTGAGTCTCTAACTTACCGATGCACAAGATGTTGAAGCAGAATCCCTGACTAGTGGACTTGTTGACGAGTTGATCCGGCAGACTGTCGAACCCAACATGTCCCGATAGAGCCAGAGGACGGGCGTTCTTGTCCTGGAAGAAACCAGTGAGCGAGAAAACATGACGCCGACTGCTGCTTTTCAAATCTTCCTCTCAAACATGTGTCTAATAGGGCTGTCAAAAAAAAAATTTGAATTTCCGTCGAATATAAA